CCCCAAAACCCCAAAACCCCAAAACCCCAAAACCCCATGACGTTGAATCAATCATTGTGGGATAGGATTGAAATATTTAAAAATTAAATCAAATTTAATTTCAATCAGCACTACAAAATGTAATCATTAACTTTCAAAATTTACTTCCTAGAGTTGTTTAAATGGCAGAAAATAACAAAAACAGGTCTAATTTCGTTGCCCCTCTGACCAAAATTTACAGAGAAAAAATCAAAAAGAGCAAAGATGTCAAACCAACCGTAATTCAAGAAGAAGAAAAATAGATATCATAATCATAGTAGAACCAATAACCATCTTAAGTCACAAATAGTCAACAATAGAAATAATCATTTAGCAGTAACATAAGTGATGCAACTATAACCTCAAGCATTAAGCAGGGTTTCATTAAGAAATATGTGAATGTAATGAGTGGCTTCAAAAAGCGCTACTTTGTGCTGACTAACGAGCTGTTAATCTATTACAAAGAGAAAAAAGGGCAGGTTTCAGAAAAAGGATAGATATCTCTAAAATTAGCGAAGATAGATCCTCGAACTATGAACGACAAAAAGATGAATATCGGCACTGGTATGAGTGAAATTTTCCTTGAATTCAATACCATCCAGGAGAAGAAGGAGTGGCTTGTTGCCATAGATGAATGCAAGAAGAGGTTGAGCTTCAATCAATCACTACTTGGAGATATTAATAACAACAATGAGTAATCTGAACTAGAGGAAACCAAGAAACAAATTGATGACTCGATTAAAAGAAGGATGAGCGCCTCAAGTGCTCCATAATCGTAACAAAAAATTAATGCCAAAGTATCATAGGGACTGGATTTAGAAGTGAAGCAAGCTCTTAATGCAGCACTCTAGGCAAATATAATAAAAGAAGATAGCGCGTTATCAGTGCATCTAGGGGACACATGGGCTGCTCATATGGCTTTAGAAGATGCAATGAATAAATTTAAATAAGAATTATAGTTACAGGGAGATAAATTACCTCAAAACCTGGTGAATCTTGGAATGAAAATTGAAAATGCATCTAATGATCTCAAATAAACAGTAACTAACTCTATTTAGGTAATTGAGAAGACAAAGCTTGAAATCATTAAGATTTTGGAGGTATAAGATGAAATGCTGAAAAAGTAGAGCACAGTAGTTGATGAAAAGGGATACCTTGGAGAGGATTCAAGATTCATGAGCTTCTCACAAGAATTCAATGATTTAATAGAGCATAAAAGAAACATAAAATCAGACATATTTGGCGCAGAAGATAATGATCAAAATAACGAGGCTATCGAATAGATTCGCCACAGCAGGCTAAACAGACCATCTTTACAGAAACTAACCAAAATAGATGAAAACGAAGAAGATGATTTCTTTGATGCAGTTGGAGACCAAGAAACTCTCGAACATGCTCAATAAGAAATTCAAAAATGTGAGGAAGTGAAATCTAGTTCTTCCAAGACTGATGAAGAATAAGAATATAGAACTATATTACCAGCCCTTAAACCACCTGATCAAAAAGTGAGTGTCTGGAAGGTTATAAAGGATGCCATCGGAAAGGATATCACCAGATTCTGCGTTCCAGTTTATTTTAACGAGCCGATTTCTATGCTGCAAAAGGTCAGTGAGATAATGGAGTATGAAAGTTTACTAGTTAAAGCATCAGAGGAACAAAATCAGTTCAAAAGGTTAATGTATGTTGCAGCATTTGGCGTGGTCTAATATAAATGCTCTGATAAGAGATTGTGCAAACCTTTCAACCCAATTTTGGGAGAAACTTTTGAACTAAAACGACCAAATTATTTGTTCTTCTCTGAGTAAGTTAGCCATCATCCACCTGTGAGTGCTTGCTTTGCTTACAGTGATAGCTATGAATTTTGGATGAACACTAGTATGAAGACTAATTTTTGGGGAAAAAGTCTGGAAATTAAGCCATTTGGCTACCAAAATGTCAGACTCAAGACTACTTAGGAAAGATTTACTATTGAAAGACCAACATCAAGCGTTAATAACTTAATCTTCGGAGAGATGTATGTTGAACACTCAGGCACAATGACAGTGAGAAATCTATAAACACAAGACTACTGTGAAATTGAATTCAAGAAAAGAGGTTGGGGTGGCAAGAATGCTTATGAGGTAGAGGGCCACTGCTTTAATAAATACAAAGACAAGATGTGGAAGATATCTGGGAAATGGATTGAGTCTTTAATAGTTAAGGATCTCTATGCTCCAGAAGAATTTGCCATCTGGCAAGCTAATCCTTTGCCTAAGAACTCTGACTCTATGTACAATTTTACTTACTTCACACTTCAACTAAACTACCTTCCACCTGGCTTGAAGGAAAGATTGCCACCATCTGACTCTAGATTGAGACCAGATCAAAGAGCTCTAGAGAATGGTGACCTTATCAAAGCTGCTAGTGAGAAGGCAAGACTAGAAGACAAGTAAAGGAAAATGAGAAAAGAGAGAGAGTAACAAGGAGTTGAATATTAGTCATATTATTTCGAAGAGTTCATAGACCCTGAAACTCAAGAAAAAGGATATAAATACATCAGAGACTATTGGTAAGACAGAGAAAATAAGGAATGGACTCATATCCAAGAGCTTTTCTGATAGCTATGCCATCAAATTAATTTGCTTGAACATAGATCTGTTGATTCTTAATTAGTATCCTCAAATTAAGAGTTAATTCTACTCCCAACTCGAATAAAAAGACCTGCGGGGTTTTGGGGTTTTGGGGTTTTGGGGTTTTGGGG